TAAGTTTCTTCAGTTCCTGCAGTTGATATTTGATAACATCCATGTTTCTGTTACTGCTCAAAGCCTGCAGCAAGCAAACATTTTCAACTTATGGGTCTTCTGAAAGATTTTTAACTTCATAAATTGTTTCAGGATACCTTTCTAGAATATTTTTGTCTTGGTTGGATTTAAAACAAATAATTATAAAAATCACTGCCAATTTTCAATATCATCCAGCAAATTTTAGTAAATACTTTTTTTTCGCTGAGCAGATTGGTTGTTAAGGAAAAGATTGTGTTGCGTCTTCCAAGAGCTCCTGATTTTAAATTTAAAATAAATTGATCTATATCTGAGTGGAAAAAAAAAGACTTGATATATAGGAAACTACTTGAGTTAAATGCTCATTTTGACATTTTGCCAGTCATGGGAATTTGCACATGCTCTGGGCTGAGTTAAGATTTTAAAACAAAAATACTACAGTAAAATGAAACACGAGGAAAGTTTAGGCTTGACTTTGTAAGTTATCATATGCATAATAGCAAACATGTGGTTTCTCTGTTCTTCACTTGCCTTGTATAAGTTAATAGTATGTCTGAAAGCAAAGGCATTTTGATACAGCTCTGGGTTACTTGGCATTGCAGAATTCTCCTACTTTTTCCATTAGTCTCAAATTATCCTCTCCCTTGTAACGCAGCACTTCTGGGTGATATCCATAAGGGAGGAAAATTAGAGCTGAACGGATGGATTCTATTTCGTTTGTTACCGATTTCATGACAGATAATACCTTGCTAGAAAACTATAGGGTCACACAGAATTACTTCTTGCTCATTTCTAAGTAATTTAATTGACGTCACTTTGAGGGAAAAGGCTTGTTATGTAAGAGGGTTTTTATATTACTCTTTTAAAGAATACCTTTTGGCTTAGTGTATGCTACAGATTTGGCTGAACTGAGAAATTACAAACTTTTTAACATTTATATGCTTGAAATTTTTTCTGTAGTTTCTCATTACTGATTTTAGTTTTTTCTAAGCAAAACAACTGTGGTCTTTTCTGGTTTTGGTTTTTTCCCTCTTTAGAGAGTACCTAAAAGTGTGATATGCTTGAAATTTTTTCTGTATTTTTTCATTACTGATTTTAGTTTTTTCTAAGCAAAACAACTGTGGTCTTTTCTGGTTTTGGTTTTTTCCCTCTTTAGAGAGTACCTAAAAGTGTGACAGTGACGTGTATGTGAGAAAGATTACAAGTCATGTCAAACTTTGAAGATCCATTAGTAAAATAGTGGCATATTAACACTTTGTGAGCCAAAGGAGCTGCAGTTGAATTTGGGTTTGGGGGGAAAGGATTGGATTTGTGTTAATTAAAACAGTTTGTGGAAAGTAATCCAAATTAATATTTTGGATACAAAGGATTTTGAGAAGCGTTGAGCATCTCTGACCTTACAGTCAAGGTGATAAAGTTCACTAGAGGCATCACTGAGATCTCTATCAGTCCCCTGGGGAAGTTAATACCTGACATTTCTAAATCACAGCTTTATTTATTTATTTTTTAATACTTTCAGCCATTCCTTGTCCTTAATATGAGAGTAGAAGAGGTACAAGTCCTCCATCACAGCCCTTCATTTTTCCAATGCAGTTCTATAAGGATTTTTAATACCTTTTGTAATCATTTTTTTTCTTGACTACAAAGGAGAAATTGTAGCAACTTCTCAAGTTTGTTTGGGATTGTTGGTTCTTGGTAACTAGCAAGGGGCTGAAGTGCAGATGTACTCTGGGGTTGTTTTTTGGTTTTTTGCCTTTTTTCTTTTTTTTTCTCCCCAGTCCCAAATAAGGAATGTAGTCCGCTGTTAATGTTCAGTGTAATGATACAGTCATTAAGAAAAGGATCTGTGTTGAATCTGTTGACAGCTCCACGCATTTTACATTGTTCTTTTTGAGCAGAAAATGAAAATGTTGTTTGTTGAAGCTGCCAGTATATTTATTCTGATACTTTTCTCTACTCATCCCCAAAAGAATGCCCTTCTTTATTTGGCACCATGGCACCCAGAGTTTTTTTACTCACCGCATGTTACATTATCCTGTGCCACTCCATTAACTTCTGCGAGCTGACACAGCTGCAGTTTTGGTGTTTTCATGTTAGCCTTTGTTTCATTTTCAGGAGAACTGTCTTACAGATGATATCGGCATATCTACGTGGAAGGAGCAGGTTTTCCTGTCACATAGTGCCTTGCTGGCAAAGAGTTGCCAGGCTGCAATGGAGCTAGCAAAGCACAGTGCTGAGATTCAGGACATGGCATTTCAGTATGGAAAGCACATGTCTATGAGTCATAAGGTATGCCTTTTCCTTTCGTTCTGGGATCTTAAAAACAGAAAGATTTGTAAGATATGTTGCTTTTGAGCTCTGTCGTATACTGCCACTATGTTGTAGACTTTTGCCAGCAGGTCAGTGGTGTTGAGAGATTTGGCTGCTGCCTCGTGTGAAGATGTTTGCAGAAACTACTGGTATGAACAGTGCTTATGAACAGGCAAAATCACAATTCTGGCAGTGTAGCTTATTTCATTCAAGGCTCTGTTAATGTCCCTCTAGCGCATCTTTCTGTAGCAGCTTAAAACTTTACCTTCTCTGCTGCTACGTTCTTCTTGAAGCCACTGTCCTAGTAGCAGGAGTTGCAGGAGGAAGTATGCGTTGGGTCTCAGCTGCCACCATGCAGAGGTTTGCACCAAGAGGCTCAACTGCCTGCAGCAGCACATGAGGCTGAGGCACAAGCTGCGGTGGCTGAAGGACCTGCATATGTTCCCTTCTGAATAATCTGCTGTGGAGATGTAACTTCCAGAGGGGGATAAGGAGGGAGGTCACCAGATACGGACAGGAGCAGCCTACACCTCTGCAGCAGTAGGATTTCCCAGAGAAGACCTCTGACCTCCATTAGAAGTCTTTCAGTCCACAGCTAGAGTTAGTCTAAAGGAAAACACCCACAGCGTGGAACTCGGGTCCTTGGCACTCTTGTTTTGCCCTAAAGATCTGCTCCTACTGTATTGCACTACTTGCAAGTATAGATGTAGCTTGAGACAGGCAGACAGACTCCCGTCTGCTTCAGCTGAGTTGGTTTAGACAGTTTCTAGTTCCTCCAGAAGAAGGAAGTGGTTTTATAAAGCACAGCTTTACTGCTGTAGAAGTGCCGCTATATGCTATTACTAGGTACAACTCTACCAGTAAATTGCTTCTAGTACAGACTATAGCCTTAATATTTTGTGTATGCTTTAATATTAATACATTCACCATTGACATATAGTTGTATATACAGGATTGTATAATTTTCATAGAAAGCTCCTAGCTATGTAACGTTTCCTTTGTCAGAAGGAGGGTCATATTGCATCAGCTTCCTCGGGTACTGAAAAGTAGAATGTATTACCCTTCACAGACGAAAAACTGATATTCTTCCCACCAAAGACTGGATCATTCTTTCCTTTATATTTTTTCTGCTTCCTGCCACTCAAAAATTGCCTACCTGGCTGTGTCCCATCACTTGCCCAGCTCTGCAAGCTGTCCTTCACCCATTTCTTTGCAGACTCTCTACATGCTTCTCTTTACAACTTTCTGCCGCTGCAATTCTTCCCCCTCTTCCTCTCCTTCCCCCAAACTTGAAAAAGTGCAACCAAAGTACAAGTGTCAAAGCAGAAAGTGGCGAGTAGGTGTAGGATCAGTATATGGACCTTGATTTGGTGAGTGGGTGGATATATATAGACTGTTCCTGGGAATTGAAGAAAGATGTTCTTCTCTTTCAGCTACATTCAGACCTTCAGCCATTTGTTAAAGAAAGTTCTAGTGACACCATGGCCTTCAGTTTGAATTCTGCTCCTGCAGTCCTGCATCAGGAATTCCTTGGAAGGGAGGCATGGATTAAACAGATCAGAGAGGTAAATTAAAGCATTGTTTAGAATTTCCTAGTTTTGCCATTTGTATCTCTCTTCCTATCTGTACTTTCAATCTGCAAATAAACTTAGAAACTAACAACAGACAAGATGATACAGAGGTTACCTCTGCTCTCCATGCTTAATACCTCTCTCTTCCATGCTTTCAAGAGGGGGAAATCTAGGGACCTGACAGTCGAGCTCTGTCAGACCTCTGTGAGTCAGTGTAACAAGCGGATTCACTTGCGTGGAACATATGTCTGTTCCTCTGCACTACTTGTGCAGTCCCACGTCTTAGCTTAAAGCTACTTCAACTGGCACCTTAAAGCAGAGAACTTTGCGTTACAGTGGTTGAAAGGTAGGCACACATTTCCTTCTGCCAACTTGGCTCTGGGAGCGGTAATTTTGGATGGGGGGGAAAAGATCTGGGGAACTTGGCTTCCTGACCACTACAAAATATTTGTGAGGTCTAGCTGGTTGATGTCCTTATTCTCAGTTCTCTTAATTCAGCTGTCTTTTCCTCTAACCCTTAGATGAAGAAGGCGGTAAGAATAAGGTAGCTGTGTGGTGTAGATCTGTTGTACGTACCGTGTAGCATAGCAGGGTTCAGGTCCGTGAATAGCTTCCTGGGTGTTGTTGAAACACAAATAGGTAACTGTACAAGACAGCAGGGAGAGAAAGGGAGGTAAACACCAAAAATGGCCAAAATTAAGCATTCTGTTGAGTTCCTACATCAGTCGGACATGTTTTGCCTGTCTAAACAGCTGTGATGAGTACCGTTTGGAAATTCCTGCAGTTGTTATACAGATTTTTTGGTAGAAAGGCTACTGCCTTCAATAAGAAGCTAGCTCTGTGCAAGCATATTAATTCAAGATGTGCTTGCCGATGGCTCCTTTCCTTGCTGGTTTGAAAGCAGGAGACTCAGGCAGAAGGTGTGGAGTCTGAGCCTCTGCCTAGTTCTGCGTTCATGACAGCCAGGTTGCAGCCTGCCTTCACATACCTCAAGCAACAGGCATAGTCTCTTCAGCAGTGAAATTTTAGCAAGTATAAGCAGCATCTACAAGCTTACAGTGGTATGGAGTTGGAGGATCTTAAAGTGAAGCAAACCTTTCGTCATTTTGAAATTAGGAGCTGGTAGTTTATAATGTGTGACGAGGAATTTTGGAATTCTACAATCTCAACACAAGGCTCATATGCGAGTTGAATGTAGATGGATTTGGATGATTACAGTTGGAGAATAATGGTATTACCACAGCACAGTTTGTAAAAGCTTTGAAAGAATTTCCCATCTGCAGAATCTAGAGGAGGTTGCGGGACTCCAAAAGTGCCCGTCTGTCTGCTTACTAATTCTCATACTGAAAATGAGCATTATAGAAACAAAGCGCTTCTCTCTGAAGGGAGGGGATGGAAAAAAAAGGTGACATGCACTATGCAAAAGTATGTACTAACTACTACTTTAGCTAAATACAAAGTGGAACACCTCGTCCAGGAGCCTTTCATAGCTTGTGTTGATTTAGAAAGGAAAATTACCTTTCATTTAACTACAAGCTCTTTGAGATATCATCCATAGTGACGTTCACTATGTGACATTCAAGATAGGCCAAGCCAGAGACTTTCTCATGCTGGCAGTACTAGTAAGAATATGCTCATAAGCCACCCTCTTGTGCAATGTCATTTGTATGGCATAAACAGGCAAAGCATGCACAGTGCACTCAGTCCCTCTCAGGTAGAATTTTTCGTAGTAGCTGACTAGGCATATGGAAATCACATTATGGACCTGTAATTACTGCTAAATAATCTGGCTTTCTCTTTTGATTGTTTGCCCATATAATCATTCATACGATGGATTGTAGGCAGCACCTCCCCTTGGCAGCTTCCTCCTCCTACAGGAAGGTCTTGGAGTTCAAGAAAGTGGAGGTAGAGAGCCCCATTGCACCTAGTAGTGGTATACTGCTCAGAAAGCATGTGACTGGGACTCAGTGCCTGTCATGCATATCTTAGATGAAGGCAGTCTTCAGAGAGGTCATGAAGGGTGCCTGAACTGCTGTGGAATGCCCAGAACTTGTGTGATTGTTTCACCACAGTTCTCTTGTCAGAGGTCCGGATACAGTCGCTGTTCCCCAGGTAGCCTTTGAACGAAGGCAGCCATAGGCATGTTTCTGCTGCTGAGCTGAAGACGTTTTAAAAGCCCCCTTGTCTCTTCATTTGAAAGGAGCAAAAATACATCAGATATCCAGGTGTGGAAGGTTGCATCAACACTGAGTATTTGTGTTTTGAGTAGATTAGATGCTGATTTGGATGAAATGTAGAGACTGCCTTAAAAGGGACTTGGGATGTGTATAGGGAGAAGCCTTGTCACAGGAGGAAAAAAATGTGTAGGTATGTGTACATGCATGTGTGTATACATGGAGATATATATACATGAGTGAATGATCATCCATAAAGACCTGAGTCTCTCCTGTTCTCACTGGCCTCACCACCAAAACCCTCCACCTTTGTGCATTTAAAACTGAAATGCCCAATGAACTGTGTGGTCAGGTGTCTATTTTAAAAGGCATATGGATTGGAGTAGAGTCCTGAAATGCTTTAAAAAAACAAACAAACAAAACCACCCAACCCTAAATGGTTCCGAGGAAACACTGTGGTAGACAGACAAAGAGGTGCTTGAATGCTCTTCTTCAGAGAAAGTGTTGAAATAGTTGCTGAATGCAGTCCCACTGAGCTTTTGGAAAGCCCTGTATTCTTAAAATTTAGCAGATAATGCAGGATTATAGGACGGAGGATGTCCTAGACGTCAAAAGACAGAAGAGTCAGTCACTTTTAGCCACTTACATATACCTCTCGCTAGACAAGAGCAAAAATTCTCTGGGTTAAACAGGCATCCAACATCTAAGCAGTGAGGTACAAAAGATCAAAGTTTGAGTGAAGAAATTAAGCAGAATCCCTCAAGAACAGGTCTAGAATCCATCTTAGCTCATAGTATTTGTAATTTAAAAAAGGAATCGGTCAGAAACTAGAACCATCTCATCTAGGCCAAGGTAATCCGTGTGCCTTTCACCATATCTTTCTGAGACTTCTCAGAAGAAGCAGGGCTGGAAGAAAAGCATTTACCAAATGCTTTATCAGGCATTTCTCAAGTACAGGTTTTAGGAACACATGTAAGAGGGACCATCTCATCTGAGAAAGAAAAGTCAATCTTGGAGAACATCCTACTCCAAAAGCATTGTCTTAAACCATCTGCTTGTGGTCTGCTTATCTGATGCATTTTGAGTCATTTCACGGGGGATTCAGGGATCCTTCTTCCTGGCAAGGTGAGTTGATTTCACACCATCTCATTTATTAATGAAGAATGTCATGGTATTATTGTCCCTCACTACTGCCACATGGTGATCTTCGGTGTTCAGGAGGAAGGCTGAGCTGAGCTGGCCGTTCATGTCTCTAACATGCTGGTAAGCAGATGCTTTTCTTTGAGGGCCCAGAGCCCCGACATTCAGAGGCTGAGCTCCCCAGCCAAGCAGTGAGACCTAGAAAGTTATCCAAGTCTGACAATAGTGCATACCTTTTGCAAATCAGGCTTAATACCTTTGAGGAAGCTAAACCAGATGCAGAAGTCTGATGTAAAAGGAAGAAAAAATCTGTGCGTCTGAAATCAGGATCAGTAAAAGTCAAAAGAGCCCAACTACTGTGAGGATAAAAAGAAAGAAAAAAAGCAAAGGTGCAGTTGTAGTAAGGAAGGCTTAGGAAACAAATTAGATAAGGTTGCTGCTTGGAGAAGCACAACTGCCGTTGACTTGAATGCTAGAGAGGAACGGAGCATGGGAAAATATTCTTGCTGTTTGTAATGTGTATTAGACGCAGGAGGAGGCATGCTGAGCACACCTCTTCTGGTATTGCTAAGACTAAAAAGCATCTTCCTCAAACGTGTTGGCAAATTCTCCACTACAGTGTGAATCTGCATATAGGCAATCATTTGTTAAAGAACATATTTCTGGTGTGTTCTGATACACAATATAACTACTAGATATATTTTGAAGAAGCCGTAAGATCCAACCGGTATGAATAAAAGTTGGCAAATGAGAGAGATGGGAATACACAAATAAGGAAGCAGTTATTGGCAGTGGTTTTGCTACTCCCAAATGCTATCAGGCTGTTTTCTTAATATGCATTCCGGAAAAGCTGATTCTTAAGAAGCTTAAAGAGAGTAGTAAAGAGGTTTTGTGGATCAGTCCCCTTTCTCCTTCAGTGAAATCAGTTTTGTTATCTACTGTTTTCCTTCCTGTTCTGCTTGCTTAGTCTCTCGTCGGTTCTTTTCTCTATTTTGTTTTTCCTCCCTTACAAAAATTAATTTATTTTCCAAATCTGTGCCATCTCTGCAACATCTCTTCAAAGCTGTGCTTGCCACATAGTGTTCCTCTTCAGTGCAGGCCTCAGCTCTTCTCCTTATGCCAGTTGACCTTCTCCTCTTGGCTGCTCTCTGAAGTCCCCACTGAGGACACGGGGAGGTAGTGGTCCTAATCTACATCTTTTCAGGAGACACGTTCCAGAAGAACGAGGTTTGTGGTCATCCCTTGTGGAGGCTAGAGGGAAAGAAACAGGTGATTTTTTTCTCAATATGCCTGAAAAAAGAAGAGCTGGAGTTGGATGAGGTGATAATGATACAGCTGGATCTGACCTAAGGGAAGGGCTTGAGGTTGGTTAAGCAGGAATGCTCTGGGTCTGGCAGAGCCCTGCCACTGGGTGAGAAAAGACATAGACATCTTCTCTTCTACATCGTCCTGTGACAAAATTGAGGAATTTGGACTACGTACTTTTCTGCGTCTGGGCAAGAAGGAATTTAAAAATTATTCATACTTCTTTCTGAATGCGTTAGGAATTATAGGTTGTATGTATCTGCTGCTTAAGTAAAGGGTGATGCTGATACTCAAATGCAATTCTAAACCAAAAGCACCTCTAACCTAGGTCTAATAGTGCTGACATGGTCCTGACATCCCCTTTTGAGAGCTCTAGACTATTACCTGTGTGCAAATCACTACAGATCTACGGAGGGTTCTCTTTTAAGAAAATAAATCCTGTTTTTGCTGATATGAAGTATAGTTTATTTCAGAATCTCATGGGAGAGATTAATTAATGCAAACAGCAAGATTTCTTAAGACCAAAACATTTTGGATTCAACAAATGTTTAACTACAAGTCATAATAAAAACCCTAAAAATTACATTGAGTATCTGTAGCTCTCATCTGAAACAGAACCATGTTGTATAAGCTGGTAACACATTTGGTTGTATTTTAGGTTTTTCCGTATCAGATTCCTAAAGAAAGTCGGTTATGTTTAAAGTAGTAGCTCTTTTAATTGCATTCTTTATTCTTGCAACTCTAGTTTGTAGTATGTAATGTCTTATATAAAATCTCTCTTTCTCTTTAAGGCACAAGGAAAAGGAAATATAATGGACTACAAGAAGGTTGGTAAATTACATTTAAATCTCATTATTTTTAATGGTTTTTGTAATATTTTCAAGGGTATTCTTGACAGTTGAGAGAAACTTCCTTATTAAAGTCAGGTTATAATTTGTGCGTGTGTATATGGAGGAAGAGAGAATGGCTTGTGCAATTTCTTGGTTTTAAAAAGCCAGTAATAGTCATCTGTACTGTAAGTGTCAAATGTAGCTATTTAATAATCATTTTTTGCCTTTATTTATCCCATTTACTTCCCCAAACTTGGTTTTGAAACCAGGCTTCTGATGGCTTTTGCTGTCGTCTTTTTCTGCAGTCATTTGCAGGTTAGCTCCCATCAGTGGTCTCTATATGTTGATAGAGTATGCTGTTACTTTTTTTTTTAATCTCACCTTAATGCCATGCCATCTATTAAAAAATACACATACACATGTTTTATAATAATTTGTGTTTCTTCCAGTCCCCATTACAACTTTTAGCTAAGTCACTACTGTATTTGCTACTGGGACTGCTCTACAGTAAAGGCAGACCTGAACTAGCTAGTTTATCTATGGAAAGTAGCTGGGACACCATAAAGCTCTTAGGGAGCTGCAGGAGATGGCTGAGAAGGTTCCCCTGGTTAAATACTGGAGCACAGCGTGCTTGTGGTGGAGACAGAAGGTGATGTTGTGTCCCCAGCTCACTTACTGAGCACGAGCCTGATTTGTTCTGAGTCTTAAGTAGATCATGAGGGTCCAGTTAGTTATCTCCAGCATCAATGGGAAATAATATATAAATTACTGAGCCACACGCATGATTGAGAATTGCTTCTTGAACTGGGGCCTGAAGAGTGTTACAGCTATGACTGCTGCTAGTATGGAAGGCTAACACACACGTACAGGTCAGACTTTTATTATAATTATTCTGTACTAAAAAAATTTGTAATCTGGATTATTAAAAAAACTCTCTGTCCGTCTTTCCTCTTAGAACATAAAAAGGATCTCAGCCTTAGCTTGCTATTTGAAATCATTGTACTTTTAGGTTTTTTCTACGATAGAAAAAAAACTGATACAACTATGGCTTTCTAAGTCACCGATGAGAGCACTAAGTTTCTTCTTCTTCAAATATATCTGAGTATGTGAGACGCTTCTGTGAATGTTTAAGCTAGGCTACTTGCTTTTGTAAGTCCAGAATGGGTTTTCTCCTTTTGTCCGTCTTTCCTCTTAGAACATAAAAAGGATCTCAGCCTTAGCTTGCTATTTGAAATCATTGTACTTTTAGGTTTTTTCTACGATAGAAAAAAAACTGATACAACTATGTTCTTCTAAGTCACCGATGAGAGCACTAAGTTTCTTCTTCAAATATATCTGAGTATGTGAGACGCTTCTGTGAATGTTTAAGCTAGGCTACTTGTTTTAAGTCCTCCAGAATGGGTTTTCTCCTTTTAATTGTTACAATTGTGATCCACCCAATGTCATTTCCATAGTTTAAAAAAAAGGGGGGGGGGGTGGGGGGTGGGGGGGGGGGGGGGAGAGAAAAGCATCTAAAATTGCTTTACTGAATTAAATATTTGTCAGTGTATTCTGTATTTTGACTGAAATTATTTCATATTTTGGATCCTTCCCATGAAATTTAAAAACTTACAGTGTGCTTAGGCAACTTGGACACTTGAATAAAAGGAAAGGAAGGGGGAAAAGCTCTTCAAGTTTTGTATTTTGAGCAATTGACTTAAGCAGAAAGCATGTGATTTTACTAGCTCTGGGTAATCACCTCTTACACAAGCACAGATATTATGAGTTTAGTAATGATAGTGAAAAATTTACCATGGTTTTTGTGAGCTCAAACAACAATCAACTTCGGTTTTTGTAGAAGTCAGTTTCAAAACTATGATGTCACGTCCCTCTCTTCTATGTTTCTTCATTTAAAATGAGAGTGGTCATTAGTTACAGCCATGCTAAATGAACCCAGTAACCTGTAGCTCACCCCAGCATAGTAGCTTGGCCAGTACATGCACACAGCCAATTAGAAGGCGTGTTGTGCAGTACAAATCAGTATTTCTTTTTTGCCCTTTGCTGTGTTGTCTTTATCTCTACATCACTAGAGTCAGTGATTTGCACATTGCTCAGTCTTTTATTCTCAGCAGAAAGGTCCCCTCTCATCTTTATTCAGTTGCTAGAAGTTCTTTAACGTTCCTAATAAAATCTGGGGGCTTGTTTCTCATTGAGTCTCCAAAATATCTCCTCTTTAATTTTGTAAAAGCGAAGGTCACCAAAACTAGCTGTAGAACTTCTGAAAATTTGTATTATTTTTGTTCTCTTAATTTTTATTATGAACTTCAGTGTGCCACTTAGTTGAGATAAAAATGTTGTTCCTTTAGTTGAATTCATAAATATATGTATACAAAAATTGTTAGCTGTTTAGCCTGCTTAAGAATATTTTACCTTGCTCGCTGTGGCTTTAAATTAAAACAGTGAGTGAAGGTAAATTTGAGAAACTGAGATCCACCCATTTAACATGCCTCCTTAAAAGGCAAAGGTCTTATTTTATTTCAATTTTGAGACTGCTCAAGAATTTTGAATTGTTCTTTCGATGCATGTTATTTTAAAATGGTATCCCTGACAAAAAAATATCTAGATGGTACTAGTAAATTTAGTGAGGGCTCTGACATAAATATAGAAGTGAAATACTTTCTATTAATTTAATTAGGTCTGAGATTGTCATGTCAATAAGGTCACTATGTTCTGCAAAATTTCTTAATATTTTTTTTCTCCCAGCTTTTCTCAATCTTTTTATCAGAAGGACTTGACTATTACAAAAGGCTTATTTTAAGGTCTGTGTTTCTGAATATATTTTTTTCACATTAGTATCTGAATGTTTCACTCTTTTTTTCCTACACCATCACACTGCATCCAGACAAATTATTGATCCATCATTGTGGTGTTTGAAAGTCTCTTCCAGAGATGAAGAAAGTAGTTTCAGCTCTGTTTTAGTGGTGTTTCTCAGATAGCAAAAGAGAAAGTACCAATATATGGCAGGGACAAAATTCATGTATGTCATTGAAAGAGACAGCAACTTTCCTGTCACCCTCGTTTGTATGTGGGATTTTGGCAAAAATCTCAGACTTTTTAAAATCAAAAAGCTTTTATCCTTTTTACATCTACTTTGCATGCAAGATAAGCTGTGTGATTCTGAAACAACGAATTGAGATTCTCAATTTAATTGTTACTATTATAATATTGATTAAAAACTCTCCGCTGAAGTCAAGGCCTTAATGGTGCTTGGCATTATACAAACTTGTTAAATGAGTGTAACAAAGGCACAACTAGTAGCAGAAATGAGTAAGCTAGGAATAATCATTGTTTTCTGGCCAAGTCTCTAGAAAAATTATAAGGCTAAATAAAGACATAAATCCTGTATTTTGCAGCCAATGAGTATGCTACTGCAAGGATTTGTTGTTTTTCTAAATGCGATATTCAGAAAAGATAAATTAAGTCAAGTGAAAGAGGGCGTAGCAACACTTTATTTTTTTTTACCGTAGCCCTGTCCATTTGCTCTGCTGTCTGTTATAGAGGCCTTTCATCCAAACTGGCATGGGAAATACGGTACATCAGCGTAGCGTGCTGTGACATACTTTGTTGGTTTGTATATGAAACACTGCGTGTGACGTTAACACAGGGAGCAGATTTTGTACAGTACTGGAACTAGCATGAGTCAAGAAGTGGTAGATCCAGCCATTCATACACTGCATGGCACTCACGTCTCCGCTTCCTATATGGTAGGAAAGAGAAGAAAAATGGGAAAGGTCACATTCGGAAACAAGGAGGTTTCTCAGTGGTAGCCTACTGTCATGCAACTAATAAATAACGATAACACAGTGCCATCCAGTTGCGTTAGCGAGAGTCGCGTGGCTCCCCTTCCCCAGCTCACCGTTGACTACCAGGGTTAGCGCATTCGTTCTGCTGCAGTGCAGAGCAGTTCTCCAGTCCCATGGTGTAAATGACAGTGGTCCCACGGTTCTGTTTGTTTAAATGCCAGAGACTCATCATGAGATGTGTCATGGGACTATAGGCCACAGACTATTCACTCTCTTGCTCCTGAAATGCAGCAAAGAGTTAAAAACAGAGGATTGTTGTTTGTAGATGCTTATGACCCGTGGCGACTTTCCATGAAAGTTTGCCTTGTTTGTTTTGGAGCAGCCACTGCCATTAGTTCCTTTTGTTACGTATATTAAAAAACCAGAGTAGTCAGTGATTTAATGAATATAGGGTTTTTTAGATATGATAGTAATAGTACAAAAGCAGCCGGAACCATTCAGAAGAAGCGATTTTCTCCTTTATTGGAATTAACTACATCTGAATTATCAAGATGTGCATCCAGTACCAAAAACCAGTTGCATCTTCATTTTTAATCAGTGGGTGTTTTCCATGGCTGCTTTGGGGTGGGAATCCAGCACAACTTGTGTTTCATTAAAGCAAACAGCTATCACATCTTTTAACATAAATATCAAGTTAATTGCTTGCGTATCCTAAGATGACAATTAACAATCACTATTTGCATTAATGTGATGTAAGAAAGTCATGCTTTTTGGTAAAAAGGCATCACTTAACTACCATTGTTTAGATTTAAAAGCTAGTGGGCCTTGTTAAGTTCATTGTGAAAGACACGGAAAGTCGTAAGGAGGAGGAGTTGGTGTCTCTTCTAAAATATTCAAGGGTCTGTACAATCAATCAGTGTCTCAGGATGACTTGTAATTTTTTGGCAGTGTACTACAAGAACTACGTAACAGCTGGAGTAGCAGCGTTCCCTGTAAGCAGGCCATCTTTCCTCTGCTGCTGGAGGTGACTATCTCCACATTTGGTCTCTTCCTAGAGAGGGTGGTTTTGAGTTTTAAGTAAAAAGAGAAGTTTTCTGTTTGTTAGATGAGTAGTCCTACTAATGGAAGTTTCGACAGGGTGTTTATGCCCTTTAAAGATGCATTTCTTTACCTTTTATATAGAAAAAGTTTCTAAGAACATATTGGATAAATACA